TCTTCTTCTTCTTCTTCTTCTTCTTCTTCTTCTTCTCACAATTATTATCATTAGTACTATTGCGGTTTTGCTGCCGCTGGAGCTGCTGCTCTTGTTATTATTACAATAAATTATCATACTGTCGAATATATTAAAATAGGGACCGGTCAAGAAATGAGTAGTTTGTCCCCCACCCCCTCCCCCAAATAATGTTGATAACACTCTGTTATTAGATTTTTTCAACTGTGTTCTGCTAAACGTTTAATTACATAGCAGGTGACGTCACGATAGCCATTCCTACCCTATTTTTGCTTGAGATTCTCACTTCGGTTGTGTTGTTCTTTTCAGAGGTCTCTGAGCTAGTGTCTGATGCCTCAAAGATCATGAATAACAAGATTGTTCACTCAGCCAAAAAAGGCTCCCCAGAAGTCCGCGCATTGCTTCAGATCGCGCTGTAGTCTTTGTTTAGCTAAAACATCACCTGGAAATGGGTGGCTGGTGCCTCTATAAATAAATTATTTATGGTTTAGAAGCTCTCTTTCGTTTCTCCAGTTAGTTTCACTTGTATTGTTTTTCACACAAGTATACCGTAACTCTGTTCGCAAATTCCACGCTTTTTCCGGGAGGGCGCCGAATTTTGAGGACACTGTTTTAATTGGCTCAAAGAGAGGAGTGAACAATCTTGTTATACACGATCTTTGGGAGCATAAAGTTAACACTGTACAGTGGCAAGCAAAAGCTCTAAACTCTTTTCCCGAGAGCAGTAGTCAGCATGTTGGAACTTCCCCGTTTTCTTCTGGAATTCTGTAGGTCTTCAGCCCTTGTTGAGCGGGGATCGCAGGCTCAAAGCAGTCTGCCTCTTAAATAATTAAATGGGTGTTACTGGTGATTCAAAACATTTTTAAAGGCCAAAAAAACCCCTCAACCAAATGGGGATACAACTTTAGGCGTGGAAAACAGGGAATTTGTGGGCAAACATCAATCCACGCATCCAATGCAATAGGCAGTGAATGTCCTGCGGATAAATCGTTTATGATAAATGGTATCAACCTCCACCCTATGCACACCAACTTCTTTGGTCAACCAGACGTTCTGGCCGGTTAAAAAAAATATCACAACATTTCTACAGTTTTATTCAAAGGCCACCCCTCCATTCTCCATTCCATGCATTTCTGTTAGACAAATCGTATACATCCATCAACTACATTATGTTTATGTTTTACCTTGCTAGGTTCATTGTAACAATTGGCATCAAGCAGGTGATTACGATAAAATGTAACTCCTTAGAGGGAGGGGGGGGGGGAAACTGGATTGTTGGGGTGGGTTTTTTCTTTGGTTTTTCACGCCAAGCCCACGTGATTAGCCAAGGAGCTATTAGAAGAGCTGTCAACGATCGCCGGAAACGATTTTTCATACCAGCTGCAATCTTTAACTTCTAATTAGCACGTTTTCTTACGCCTTTGAGTAAGTCTCTGAATATTAACTTCAAAACCCTTTTCTTTTCCTCAACTTAATCTTTTTATGACCATAACTTCAATTTACAATTAAGTTTGTAAACTGCATTCGGAAAAGGATCCTAAGATCTTTGAAGTGATCGTTAAAACTAGTTTTGATAATTACTTTTTAAAGTGTTTTGAAGGGATTGTTGAACCTGTTTTTGGTCATTCTTTTGTAAATGTAATCCTCTGATTGAACAATTTTTCCTGTTTTAGAGCTATACAGATTGTCCTTTTCTCGTATTCATCAGTCTCGTCGGTCAAGTGTTAAGCTGTTTTGGAGGCCGTGAACACGGGTCCTGGAACCCTAATACATGTAATATAAGTACGTCCATGTTCAGCTTGAGTGGGTTTTTAGAATATTATATTATGAAAATGCAATATTCCGACAATAAGAAGGCACGGTACTTGAACGCAGTTCTTAAGTTCGATCAAGTTCAGCTATGCTGTCCATGGTACCCCATGTCAATCGACGTTTTCCTTCGGTGAGTCTGGTAATGGATATATTTGGCTTCTGAAATTCCCCAAACTCTAGAAAAATTAGAAATTGACCAATGCGTCGTTCATGGGCGTTCAAAAGATAAATGTACATTTATGTGCATCTATTTTATACGGCACCAAAGACAGGTTCCAGACATGCGAGAATGTTAATGGGGAGACATTTAGAGCATTTAAAAGTCTAAAGATAACAATTGTGCTTCTGTTTTTGGCTATACATTATGGTCAAAACATGAGATTCAACGAAAATAAGGTGAGGCAATGGGTTAACCTTTACTGTTTGTTTCAGTATACAAGCGACAAAAACTGTTTCTTTTTTTAGGAACAGGTATTGTTTTCCGAGTACAAAGAGTGTAGCGAAAACGTCAATATGTAATGATATACGCATCTATAGTTTCAACGCTCATTTCAAAATGACTTTAAATACTGCCTTGAGGGGAGCATTAAGCCACAATATTGATAGTACGAAAGAGTAAACGACATTCTCTGCATCTGGGTTCGTCAATATGGATCTAAAGAGGAAAGCATTATAGTAAGTCTGGAGCCGTTTACGATACTATACACGGGTGTCTGTATGTGCGTGTGTGTGTGTATGAGTCTGCATGGTGGTCTCTGGCGTTGGTTGGGATTGGGGGGGGGGAGAGTACTGTGTGGCACTTGCGCGCTTTATATGTTCTCTACGTCTGTCTGTCTGTTCTCTGTCTGTCTGTCTCTTCGTCTCCCTCTTAAGCTTTGTCTGTCTGTCTGCCTAGGTCTGTCTGCCTGTTTGTTTGTTGCCTTCGTCTGTCTCTCTCTCTGTCTCTCTCTCTGTGTCTCTGTCTCTGTCTCTGTCTGTCTGTCTGTCTGTCTGTCTGTCTGTCTGTCTGTCTGTCTGTCTGTCTGTCTGTCTGTCTG